TGCGCGAGTTGCTGGTTTTGTTGCATCCCCGTTTGCGGAGAGTGCGTCTCAAGGGAATGCGATTGTTTATTGCTTCCGCCTGCATAGCTAAATACTCGCCCCTGCATCCACCGTGTCGGTTTTGGTTTTCACCCCAAAACCCACTCATCTCTCCGCCGGCCGACAGGAAAATTAATATGCATCGGGAGCACATTAAATTATCAAATTAAAGAGCCGTTGGTTGTGGCGGCCGCAAAGCGCATCCATCAACCGCTTCGCCACTGCAACAATTAATGTGTTTGGTTTTTGTTGCAAATTAAAAAAATTTAAGGTCAATAACTGTCAGAAGATTGTGATACAGTTTTTTTTTATTCTTTCTAAAGCACATTTCTTCCAATAATTCACATAATAGTTTGGTATCAATATTAAAATTGTAGTAATGGATTTAATTAAAATCATTTGGAAAAGTCAAAAAATTTATTTTATTCCATTGTAATTTAGGTTTTCCTAGAGTTTCTTAGTCAACGTATTGTTACGTTAAAATACTCCACATTAACTTTCATTTCTTAAAAAATTTATTATTGGATCAAGATTATTACTATTGGATTCTACACAAAAATTTTATTATTTAATTGCGAATTAAGACGATCGTACTATCCCTTTCTTTTGTTTAAAAATTTCTAATATTTGAATTTCATCTGTTTCTATTCAGACCACCCAGAGCTCATTGACTTCCTCAATCACCAAAATTACATAAACCTTCCAAACATCTTTTATAAATCCCGGTTCATCAAGTTAAACCTCATCAAATTTTTCCTCTTTAAAAACACTTGACCACATGAGTACATTTTTGGTGAACTGTGTAGAGTTTATAATATACAGCGTGGATGAGTACAATTTGATGATTCTCTCTTGCGTGGCTGAGCAGTCAAGTGGCCAGCTTAACGTCTGCCCACTCACCTTCAGGCCGATGAAAATATTTAATTAAAAGCTGCTGGCGTCCATAATTTAATGGGAAACATGCATGTCGTAATTTAATTTGTCTGCTGCCAAAGGAGGGTTCAGTTGAGGGCTTTCAATTAGACATAAACGTGCAGTGATTTAATGGCTGACCACCTCCACTAAATAGTTTATTTTGTGTGCTGCTCAGCAATCATGTGGAACCCGTTGACTTTAATATTGATTATTTTCTAATAACATTTTTTTACAGCCCGAAATTGTGATATTTTTCAGCTCTCGTTTTCCTTTGATTGATAATGCAGAACTAGCACAATTTCATTATTTCCAAATTACGTTGCAAAATTGATGTAAAAAAAGCTTGATGTCCACTCGAGTGTAAATTATATGCAAAATTGCAAAAAGTTTTGGACGGCGTTGGATGAATTGACGTCGCTCGTTAAATTTCCGCTACAGATCTTTTTATTGGTCATGCGCGGAAACGAATTAAATTTTTACGCCATGTCACTGCACGTTTCATTTCATATTATTTTTTTTATCATCCGTCGAAAATATGAAATTGGTCAGTTTGGCCGCGAGATTTATGGACTCTCGACAAAACACAACTATTATTTTTTGTGCCGAGCAGAGACGACGCCGAGACGAAAAATTTATTTATTCAAATTCCACCCAGCCAAGGGGCGGGTGGGCGCGAGAGAGATGCGGCGCGGTGGTGATAAATTATTTTATTAAGGATATGAGCAGGGGGAATTTCTTGTCCCTTTTGTTTGGGCATTGTCGGCGCGCGAGGGATTGCTTTTGAGTGTTTGGCCAACCTCTTCAAACTTAGTCCCCACTTTAGAATGTTTTTCAATATTTATAATTTCACAATTTATTGTTTTATAATATCAAACAAGACCAAGGTACTTAAAAACATGACAAAAAAATGTCATACACAATGTAAAATGTTCAATTTAAATTGGGCGTTCATATAAAAGCACTAGTTATGAATACCATAATTTAATATAATTTCTGTCATTGATTGATTTCATGTCGATGTGAAATTAATTCTACACCTTTTTATAACATTTTCTAAGTATGCAAATTCGTGCTGAAATTGAATTAAGTTGATCATATAAATTCTGTGCCAAAATTCACTAATGAGACCTAAACGTACATGTGAGATTGTACTTGTTTAATTTACAACTCAGACGGGTTTCTTAAAGATTGAGAGGGTAAAAAGTTTTTATAAGTGTACAAAATTCATCATAGAAAAGCCAAAATTTGTAATAAATATAAAACCATTTACAATTTGTTCTCCAATGCTCAAATTGTGTAGAAAAGACTAAATAAAAAATACATTTAGCAAGTTTTTAGTAATTTTTTAAAATTTAAATTACAATTCCTGCCTAGCAATCAAGCTTCCGCCAGTGAAGCACCAGAGAAATGATCAGTGGAGCGAATCGGAGCGTGCGTTTCACGTTTCTTATTAGTGCAGGCGGTGGGTGACGCGCGACATACACTGGTGGCTCAACGACCAAAAACTCGCTTGTCGCCCCTCGCAACACACAGCAGCGGCTAAATTTACATTTTCCGCCGAGCAAAGATTTATCATGGTGGTGCGGAGAGCAGAAGAAGAGGTGAGCATTATTGAGGTGGTTAATAAACACTCTCCAGCCGCGCGTCGAGTGTTTTCGGTCTGCAAATGACGACGCACAATGTAGGAAGCTCGCGCGCCAACCGATATTTGTGACTCACCTTGGGCGGAATTTTTATTAGACTGGGAAAGATTTCCGCAGAAAAGCATCACTTCTTTCTCTTGGCAATCAAAGTTTGTTTTTGCATGGCTTTCGTCAGATCTTGTGCCAGAAATTCACTCTCTCTGAACTTAATTTAAGACTCGTGCAGGTGATTTTGGTTCAATAAACTTCATTTATTTAAAGTATCTTATTAAATTGCATACGAATGGGGCTAATCAATACATTTTAAATTCAATACAAAAATCCATGTGAAGTGCCTAAAACAATTTTACTTATGTAATTAAAATGTGATGCATTTTTAAGTAAATAATATTTTTCTTATCTTTAAAATCATGATTAAATTGTGTCTTTATCACATCTAGTGAATGAGATGGAGTCCTAAAGGACAATAATTGAAATAATTGTGACTATTTGAAAATTCACTTAAAAAATTAAAACTTTTTATAAAAACCTAAAAAATTAAACTTATAAAGAATTTATTAAATTATATAACCTTTACTAAAGTTTTAATAATTATTACTCAATGCTAATATGCATTATGCATATTTTTATAATAATTAATTCCTAGTATTAAAAAGTGAACTAATTATCTTCTAAAAATGTGAAGATATTGAGCAAAATAATCTATTACAAGTAAATTGTATAGTGTTAAATATGCCAACAATAAAGCAAATATGTTAATAAACTTTACAGTAGATTACCGGGGAAATAAATAAAAGCCTCGTTAATAAAATTAAGGCAGCCGGCGTGAGTCAGAAATTAAATTAATCGCAGCTGTTCTAGTTTTAAAGGGCCCAGGCGAGGCACATTAGAAAATTTGTAGTTTTATCTGGTCGTTGCGGCGCCGCGGGTAATCTGGTTTGATTAAAGATTGATGCCCATCTAGGCCCACCCCTTTGTATTCTTTCTTCTACACAGAAAGGTAGGAAAAAAAATAAAAGAGGCATTTAGCTTGATAAGGAGAGAGCAGGTTTTTACTCGCGCCCCATTTGTGCTCCTGCCTGCTTTCCAGGTAATTTATTTCATCTGTGCTATTACCCCCCGAAAAGTAGCATAATCGTGTGATTCACCGCGGCGCAGCAGCCCATTATTATTCGTTTTGTTTCTGAATTATGGGACGACACCTTTTCAAAACATTTTTTACTTCCACTCGGAATGTTTTCTATCTGGATCACCGCCTACAAAATACCTTCATTAAATGTCGTACGTTTTTATAACATTTTTTTCCTTCAGCCCAAGAGCTTTGAAAATATATTGGATAATTTATATTTTATATACTCCCAAGTTTCCTTGATGAGCCGGAAAGTGTTCAAAAGTTAACTGCTCGTTTATATTCTTTATGACATGCTAAAACCAAACAAGAGTAAATGAAGCGGAAGAATGAGTTTTTTTATGCAAAAGTTTCTGTTTCAAAGAGTAAAAATGGTAAAATATAAATTTTCTTTGATTCGTTGTCAAATTTAAAAATTAAAAACCACATATTTCAGAATTTCAAATGGAAAATATAATTTTTATAAATAAAAATATTAAAATAATATGAAGCCACTCAAGGACAAATTTTCAATTTTTTTCCTCTCACACTGTCGCATCAAAACATTAAATCCGTGACGTGTTTGTGCGAATTTTCGTCGCAAATCCTGCGCAGTGCAGCCGTATTAAAACAATTTTTCATTCCGTGCTCGACAAAGCCGCGTCTCGCGGTCGCGATTTGGCCGCGGTTCAAAGCCGCGCCGATTTTTGCGTCTGCGGTGTTGCTCTTTCTGTTATTGCACACAGGCATAGAATACAAGTGCGCGATTTCTCAACCGACCAAATTATTAATTAACGCCAGACGGGTAAACACAACGATAGTAATGCTTCGAGACTAACTGCGTCTTGTTGTAATTTAAATTTTTCCCTGCGTTAAGTCTGAGAAACTTGTGTTTGGGTTGTCTGATTACGTAAAAAGATAATTGGAGAAGCCAAAAAGCTGGTTTTAATTATTATAACAAAGACAAAAGATATTTTATGAAATAAAAAGACACATAATTAATAATTAATTAAAAATACAAAAATCCTACATGTGTAGTTTCCAAAAAATTTCATCATATAGATTATTATTATTAGATTGGTCTGGCTGTCAATTGGACCTTAAAATTAAAACATCTTTTTTAATTTAATTTCTAATAATGGAACTTTCATAATTTTTTATTTTTATGATGTTGAACTCAACATAATTTCATTTTGAGCTAAAAAAAATTTTAAGTTCGTTTTAAATTAAAAATCTTTGATTGGTATTTAATCAAAATTAAATAATAAAAATTTATTTATAATTGTTGTACTCACCGGAAGAGACTGGGCGCAATTGCAGGGCGCAGGCGAGCAGGACGGCCACGAGGGAGAGCCTTCTCGGATGAGCCATGCTGGCCGGACGCACCCTCGGAGGTGACGAACCACCCTCGGAAGCAAGAAGTGACTAACTGCGGTTCTCGCCTTCTTGTTGAAGAAAAGCCCGGTGAACTCACTCTTGTAATCCGTGGATCGCGTGTTTGTGACTGCAAAGTGACTGACTCATGCACTGGAGGTGTTTTTCCGGCACGGGGGTGGCGCCGAGAAAACAACCCCCCGAATTACAACGGCAGCGACGGCGGCACGATGCATCGCACGCACTCAACAATGGATCGCGCTCGACTGCTGCACGGGTCACACGGAGACGCGTGCATCGCAGGCTCTCTCACTATTTCTATTTGCCCCCATGTGATGAGGAGCGAAGTGCGTCGAGGAGGAGGAGTTGAGGATCGGACGCCCGAGAGCTTGGATGGCAGCAGCGGACGAACAGCGGCACCAGCAGTCACTCTTCAACTGGTCAAAGCTAATCGGATGATAATTAATGTCAGATTGTCTATAAAAAAATTAATACATTTATTTATATTTTACGGAATAAAAATCTTTAATTGCTAGTTTAAATAATTAATGGAATTCCAATATTAGCTCAACTAAGATATTTTAAAAAAAATAAAAATAAAAGCACAAAATAAGTAATAATTTAAATTTGAATATGTTATCAACAAAATAATGAAAATATTTGTAAATTTATATGCTTAGGTTAAGTTAATTATGTTTTAATATTATGCTTATTTTTTCATGTAGATGTAAAATAAATTGTTATTGAAAATTATGAAGGATCTGCATCAGTATAAAAATATAATTATTTGGTGGTTATTCTGTGTTAATAGACTAGCAATAAAACGCATTTTTTTTCTATTGCCATATTTCATTCTTTTCAAGTAGGTTCCTTCATTTTTGTTCATTATTATATGTATTTTTAAATAGATTGGAAAATAAAAAAATACCAAAATATTAGTATTTACAGTGATTTATAGTTTTAATCTTTTTCCAATCAACAAAATTGGAACTTCTTTCATCTACACAGCCAACTGATTTTTATTAAAAAAATAAACCTCTTTGTACTATTTTTCATTCATGATTTTCCTGTTGATCAAATGAGCAACCACTGCACGTCTATTAATTAGAAATTAGTGTTTCCTTCCGCGAGGCGTCTCATTTCAGCCTCAATTCCAATGAATCTGCATTGTAGGTGAAGGAGTACGTATGGGAAAAGGTGATTACGAGCTGCTCACTCAGCGAGTGCGAGATGAGAGGGTGCAGCACACGCGGCCTCAGGTAATCCAAGCCGCAAATCCACCGGCGGCCGAGTCACTCGACACCTACGCGCAGGTTGGCTTTGAGCTGCCGAGGGGAATCAAATTCCTCATCATCTCTGAACTCTGACGTCCGATCTACGTATAGTAATTTCTCACCTGGGTGCAAAGGAAGGGCGGAAAAAGAGAGGCCTTAAAGCAAAAATCTCTACTAATAAGAGTGAAAATAAATTTTGTTTTAAAAGACTTACATTGAGTAAAGCCATATTTGTAAAAGCTAACAAATTTTGATATATTCGAAATTGCCAACAATAAATTAATATGAAAAAAGGGAAAAAAACGCAGATGCAAAAAATTTAAAGCTTAAAATAAGGTTAATTTATTTGTTGACAATTTAATTTTTTAATTTATTTTACATAATTGTGTAATTTTTAGTATTAAAAACAGAGTCCTATACAATATACTATGAAAAAACGACATAAAACGTCCATGAAAAAATGATAAAAATAATAAAATTGATTTTTTCTCAATGAAGGGAATTATATAAAAAAACTTTTAATTTCAGGTTTTTGATTCTTAGGACATTAATTTGAAGGAATTGTTGGAATCTAAATATTTTAGAAAGATAAAAACGATAAATTTTCCCATGATTATTGGCCCTTGATGCGCCAGAAAGGTGAAAGAGAAATGACAAAACGATTTTCGTCGAGGGTAGTTCCAAGTGTGAATAACTTTTTCGGCTCCTTTGTTGTTGGAGGTCTTGGAGTGCGCGCCAGATCGCTTAATTCGGCCTGACACCTCCAAAGGCGACCCCCTGCCGCCGCCACCAAAGAGCCTCTTTTTATCCATTTTCTTCGGGAAAAAACCACCGACGCGTAAAACACAATCGAAAAACACATTTGCCTATAAATTTCACGCCTTTAATGGAATTGCCGAGAGAAATCATTGCGGAAGAGAAAATAAAAAGACGAGGATGGATGTGACTTTTATTCGCAATTTTCGGCGGCAAGTGTCACCGGCGCGAGGGCCTTTTTATGGATTTCGTGGGGCCAATTGAGGCCGGTTGTTGAGGTTGGTGTACTTGCTGCGGAGGAAAGAAGTGTGCGGTCAAATAAAGAGCTGCCGCGCGCACAAAACCGCAACCGGGCCGGCGCAGCAGCTGCGAAGCCAAAATGTGATGTATGATCGGCAATAAATCGTACCTTAAGACCCACACTTTATGTGCAAGTCGCCCGTTTCACGGCTATTTATTATTTATTGTCCGGCACGACCTCTCAACGCAGACACGAGCAAAAGTGACCGGCGAAAATTTGCGACATCAGAAAAGATCAACCGAATTGTATTGGACGTGAAAGTCAAGAAAAATATCCTGGATGTTTTCAATTTTGTTTAGTTTTTGCCACGTTTTATTCTAATCAAAATCATTATAATGATAATAAAAATGGTTTTACGTCCATATTAAAAAATAACCGAATCTAATCAAATAAATTACTTCCAAAGTTAAATTTAAAATGATTGAAAAAATAAAAATTTTATATATTCCACTGTTAGCCAATCATTCAGCTAAAACCAAATAATCAACCAATAATTGAAATCTTATATTTTATTTTCATGAGATATATTAAATTGTGTAAATTGACATCAGATTTCTTGTTAACAGGAAATCGAGAACACAATCACATGAATCAAACTTGTGAGGTTTTGTTCACAAGAAAATAATCTTATTTTCAAAAATAAATATAATAAACAGTGATGTTCAAAACAGTTTATATTGTAAAATTGAAACAAATTGCCTAATAATTATCAAAATAAATCCTGCTTTATTTGTTCTTTTTATTCAAAGCAATTCAAAGCTCCTTCGATTGGCCAAAAATGTCAATCAATGCTCTATTTTTTTTTGGCTCAACAATAAAAAAATGAGTATATTAATTGACATTTTTGACTAGTAAACCAAGCTTGTCAACTACCTTCAGCAAAAACAATGTAATGACTCATACTAATTAAAAACCAAATTGTATATTTCCTATTATTTTTTATGAGGAATTCAGGGATTTCTGAATTTAAAAAAAAAAAATGATTTATTTGCTCATAGTTTAATGGTATACTTGAAATCATCCACACAATTTTTATGACGGAAAAGCGGTTTTTTTCCGAACTGATAATGAAATAAGTGGCAGAGCGAGCGTTTTGGAAGCGCGGCATGAAAGGCAGCTGGATTTGGCCGTCGCCACCGCAGCGCCGTTATTCATAACAGGGGATTAAACAAGGCGGCTCTTTTATTTCGCCGCGCACTTTCCAGATGAGTGAAAACCAATTTGATATCGCCGAGCTCTCGCACAAATAGAGGGATGGTCGCTGAAAAATTTTTAATTACAAAGCACGCCCGCCGAAAAAATAAACAACAGACCGAAATTAATACAAAACAATGACGGATTACACGCGGCCTGAATTCAAATTTCCTTTGCGTGCAGCGTTTCGCTCACTGCAATTACTGAAAAAGAACTAATAATCACTGGCAACGTATGTAGATAAATTTTCCAAACTTGTCCGCCCCGTTGGAATCTTTTATACAATAAGCGGGCGAGCATCCTCTCTCTCTATTTGGTAAACAGCTGCAGCATCGGCGGCGCACAATGGCCCCCGTCCGTGGATTAATATTTCATTACTCGACCAGGATGGGTTTCACATCCTGTTTAATATCGGTGGCGGCCGCTCTAGCTCCGCCGGCACCCCCTTAAGATGCGTCCCGCTTCCCTTGCTGACTCGCGTCGCCATCCTGCCCTAATGCGTTCTCGATAATTGATTACTCACCCATAGTTGCCGCAAAATTATCCGCACTGAATATTAACTTGCAACTTCACGCGCGACTTCCTCAACCAAAGAAGTGTTTTTATATTCTGAAAGTTTTCAGTGCCTTATCAAATACAATCGTGGAAATTTTAAAAATAAAATTTTATATTTTAATTTTCCGAAGTGGCGAAGAAATTATAAATTTCAGATAAGCAGTACAAACTAAATTTTTGTATTTTAATTTTCATTATATTGCTTTATGCATCATCCGAAATAATTGATTGACAGTATCATCTTTCCTACGCCTAGCAATAATTAGTAATTATTATATTTGATATTATTCCAAAATATTTTGGAATGCGTACATGAGGAAGAAAATGTCTGGACAAAAAAAAAATAAATATCACTTGAAATTAAAATTCTCTAATGAATCTTGGTTTTGGGTTTTTTTCAATGCAAATGTTTTGAGATTTCAGATAGTCATAATTTTATTTTTGCTTTTGGAATCTAGTGAAAACTTGGCAATTTGAAGAATCTATAAAAATTACAACTCTTTAACTCTTTTGACGGTTTTAATGCTTCATTTACTTAAATCACTACTTTAATATTCAAAGTACATTTTATTGTTGTAAAACAGACAAATTCTCCCCGTTGTATATGTGTGGGATGTTATTAAAAATGATGTAAAAATAGACACAATTACTGCTGCAAATGGATTCTTCTTGATCTGGTAAGTTTTAGCAATGCAATAAAATTTCTTGTTTCTGTTTTGTCAGACAATTTTTCTTTTCTTTGAAAATAAACCGTTTTTCAATTAATCATTGTAAAGAATGAGAAATATAAATGTTAGTAGTATAAAAATTGTAAACATTTATTTCATTTCAATTTTATAGTGACCAAAAACGTGCAAGAAATTGTTCAAGTTAACTATAATAAACATGATTTGAAACTATAAAAATAAAACCCAATATCTTGTTTCCTATCATTAGATTTATTGCCGTTAATTATTTCGCATAAAAACTTGGTGACAAAGAAACACCAGAGATGCCGTTCGTTGCTCGTCGCATGAGAGTATAAAGTGCACTTGAAGGAACGGGTTAACGAGAAGAGTGTTGCAAATCAAATAAGAAAGCTCGGTGTGTAGTTTCTGATCGCATCGGGCCATCTGTTGGTGTCACTCACTCGATCCACAGGAGAATCATATAATTAATTAACTGCGGGCGGGTCTCGCGATAAAAAGCGAGAATCAATCCTGTTCGATCCAAGCCCTGCTCCAACTTTATTTATTTACTTATCTCAGTAGCCAGCTGGCTGCTGCTCAGGTGTTAAAGTTGCCAGACTTCCTGCTAATTGTTGCCGGCGGGCCATTGTTGCTGATTAGTCGCAGCTGCAGCCTAGCCACGGCCGAGGGAGAGAAAGTGTTTCTTCTTATTCTTCGGAATTAGAAGCAGGGCCGATTGTCGGCCCCTGGGCGATGTGCTGCGCCGCCGAGCACGCCTGACACGTCGGTTGCCTAACTGCCGCCCGTCATAAATGCGAGCGAGTCCCTTTTCTCTATTTTGGCGGGTGACAGCTCCGACCGGAGCTCTACTTTTGGCCCGGGCAGAGAAATTCGCGGAAATTGCACCGACCTTAAATCTGTTTTCAGCCAAGACGGAATCAGTCTCGGGTAGGAAAAGTGTGAAAATGGAATTGAACTTGACCAATGATGGAAAATTAGAGAAATTTTTTTGAATTGATTCAAAATACATAAATAAAATTTGGCTAACAAGGAGTGAGTTGAATTTAATGAATTAAGATTTTTATTCTTGTTCTTTCTAATTGCTGAGGCTAATATTAATAAGGAATCCACTAAACCTAAATTGTTTACATCAAATTTTAAAATTTTAATAAATAATTATTATTCATTTTGAAATATCTATTTTGTAGTTCCAATAAAAAAAAACACATTAATTCATTTTATTTATTCGGTTCAAATAAATTTACACTTTTCTCTCCCTGATTCATGCAAAAGGGGGAAATAAATAAATAATTTGTAATTGAAAATTTTGTTTGTGAAATTTCGCATGTAAAACTTTGTTTGTAAAACTCTCATCTTTTCTCTCAATTGTATTGAATTTGTATAATTTTGAATGTATGAATGATGTATCCCGTTATGGGCAGCAATTGCCTTTGTGATATATCAATAAACACAATTTGCAACTAAAAAAAACTTTGCTGTCGCCAACACCAATTGTCAGCTAATTCAATATGGAGCATTATGCATATTCGAAATACGTTGTGAATTGTTCAGCTGGGAGCGAATTTCACTTTACTATAGTGGCGGTGCCTAATTGGTATGCAGCCCGTCGGGCGCGTAAATTGGCGCCGAGTCGAAGCGCCCGGCCATTCTCGCGTGTTTCTTTTTCTTTCTTTCTCTTTGTGTTCGACGCGAAAACACGACCAATAATGGTGGCGAACACGCGCAGGCAACTTTCGAACTTTTCAATTAGAATGCCGCGCCATAAATTAGACGCAGCAACTTTTTTACTTTCGCGATGGAGTGAGTCGCTTCTTCGTTTTGGCACCAGACCAGCCAGCCAGCCATCGATGGTGCAGTGCAGCCCCAAAATTCACATAGTCCCGCAATACAAACTTTTTTTCACGCAGCCTTCTCACTTTTTTCGCCAGTTAATCTTTGCAGTCGTTTGTGAACATTGAAATTGAACTTTCACGCTTGTTTCTGAAATAAATATAATAAATGATATTTAGATTAATCTCTTATTCGTTTTTACGAGAGGTATTTATTTTTTACTGTTTAATTGGTTAAAATTATTTTGATGGTACTGTAAAATTATTCAATAACAAATCAGCATTATTAAAAATAGAAATGGATAAAACTTCAAAACTAAAGGCACTTTTATTTCCACGCTGTATAATTTTTTAAATTTTTTCCAGATATTTAAATAATTTAATCGAATTTTTTTCTAAATTAAATAAAAAAAATCATGTGAATTTCATGTTTGAACCAATAATTATAAAATCAGAGTTTTGAAATTTTTGTGTCTCCCGAAAATAAAGTTGTACAATAAATGTTTCAAATTTTCCAGGTGTAAAAAATCCTCTCGATTCTTTTCCTGCTCCGCCGAGTTTTGGTAAAATATCCTATCTCTGTTGAGTTCCTGCTTTTGACGCTTCAGCGATTTTCTCATAATCCAACTCCATCAGCGAGTTTTGCTTTGATTGTAAGTGGGAGCTCTCGAAAGGCCCTTGAAATTCGGCACGCGGCCATTTATGGAGCGTGAAAGGAGGAGAACGAGATAAGAAAAGTTTGCCGCAATGAAATAGATTAGGGCTCGAATTTATTTCATTCAAATTGCCTCCACCGATTATGCGACGATGCGGATTCCTCTCGCGCACACCTCGCAAGTCGTTAGCACGCCCGTTGCCGTCATTTGAATCTATTTGATGGCGAAACTTGATCGTCTTGTTGTCAAATAAACACGTGGAAAAAGAGGGCTGAATATGTGAAAGATGTGTAATTTGTCAGTTTTAGGGTTTTTGTACACTATCGTGCCCATAGAAACAAAAGAGTCATTTAAATATAAGACAGCATACAAAAAGTGATTAAAAGACAATTCCCAATGAAGAAAAAGAATCATTTCAGTCATTAGAACATAAGGAAATAAATAGAATAGTATGAAAGACTTTCTGAGGTGAATAGAAGTATTGATACAATATTTTTTCGATACTTTAAATAATTCTAGTTTATAAATATTTATTTCAATAGTTTAAATGATTCTTGTGAAATTAAAATGAAAATTCCAGGATAAAAATTATTGCTATGAGAGCGAAGCCCAAGTTTTTCAAGAAATTAAATAAAAAGAACTTAATTAATAAAATAATTTATGAATTTAAATTTTAAATAATAAAAATAACAGGCTTTTATTGATGAAAACTGTGTAAATAATTGCAACGTCAGATAATTTTTATTAATAATTTGTTTTCACACTACAACGAAATGTGTCAAGGATGAGATTCGCAAAACTGCTCTGATCACATATGAAACGCAAAGGACACAGGAATAAATATCTCTCAATTAATGAAATGCCATCTGGAACATAAACATGTAAGAGAGAAAGAGAACAAGTGTTTTTCTCTCGCATTTTCTGACTGAGCACTGCCACTAATGTTAATGAATCGCAATTTTCACAACACGTTCTCGCGCAGATCCAACACAGGATTCAGGTTTGATCCTCTTCTCGTCACCAGCATTTCCACAATAAAATCTCTGAGCACAGGAAAAGTAGTGAAGGAAGTCAATTGTCCTTGCCGGACACGACCGCAGTCTCGAAGGGAGTGGGGGACATTAAATCGCGTAAATATTTACACCAACTACACGTAGCGTCCAAATTAGGCTTTCCAGGTGCTTCCGGCAAAAGCCGACGCCGAATTTCAGCGGCTTGCTTTTGCAAATGAAATCAAGCAATCTGATTGTTTTCAAGAATCAATATTTTGTTCTTTTTGAGCTTTGAAATTTGTTCCAAAATGAAAATTGAAGGAAGCACTTGGACGATCTGCAGAGGAAAAAGGATGACGAATAAATAGACTCAAAGGATTCTCCCGGGAGATAAAATCGCAAAAACCACGAAAAATCCAGTGAGACCGATTTTCGCAGGGGGAGGGAATTGCGCGCGCCACAGTTCCACTGTAAATTGAATACGTACTTGCACGGGATTCGCGTGATACATATCGGAGGTTTAAATTTAAATTCACTTTGCCCTAAAATTTTCCATCTGTTTCTGAAAAACTTGCAGGTTCGGATTCGCACTCGTCCGTTCGTGGTCGACGCAGTTCAACACAACTGGATTGTCCTGAGCAGAAACTTAGTGGCATCATCTGCAGGTGAGCGCCACGTGGACGAGTAACGAGGCCAACAACACCAAAGCCGAGCGCGCCACACGACGACCCGCACCGTGTTCTCCGTGCTGCATCGCTGCCGGGTGCTCACCTGAAAACACACAAACACATCCTCCGGTCAGAGATCGATTCAAAACCACGCAGTTCGTAAGTTTTAAAAAAATTTATAAATTGTGACAAAGATTTTGTTAACAAATTGACAGAAAATGTAAAAATACCATTTATTTTTAAATGCAAAATGAATGCGTTAAAAAAAAATAATATTTATAAGAAAAATTTAAAATAATAAATAAAATTAAACCAAATAAAAATTTATAAATTTAAATATATATTAGCTTTTGCATAAATATCTCATTTTTTTCAAGGAAATAAAAATATAAATTTTATGTAAATTGATGTTCATCTTTTTTGGAAATAGAAATAGAGATCACAATTATAGGAATCAAAATTGTGTGGATTGCTTCACAAATTATAAAATTAATTATTTTCAACTATACATAATGGAAATTATGTTTCCCAACTCACTCCACAAGGAAAAGGCTAATTATAAACTTTGTAATGTCATGGCAGGATAAAAAATGAATAGATAGAAGATTTTGCAATGCAGCACAAATTTCGCGCGACTTGGTGACGCATCGGCGACAGTGATTTTTCACTTGGCTCGCCGCCCCTGGTGCTGATGGATGGAGCCCGGCCGAGTGCGTCAGCAATTAATTCCACGTTTCGCGAATTCCTCGACTGGATTAATCGGCGCAATTAGCCGCCGCACCGCGTTCACGTGTGTGTGCCGCGGGCATGCAAACGCAGGCGAGCGTCGCTTGACGAATCGCCACCGTGGCTGAATAAACGAGCGTCAAGAGGTGCATTCCGAATAATAAAAGAGAGTGCGAGTTTGTTCTTTGGAGAACATATAATAAAACGTAGCTGGCGAAAAAACGTAACAGTTTTTGCAAAATAATATAATATGTTACAAAAAATTTTAACGTACAAAATTAATCAAGGCCTAGGTTTCAATTTATGGAATGAATAAATCAATTCACGAAATAAAATTATTGCCAACTAGATTTTATTATTTTAAATGAAAATTAAAATAACATTGATTTCAACAAATTTTTAAAATAATCTTTAATCATTCGTCATTTTGTATTGTGAATTTTTATTATTAATCGGAAAAATGCCAAAAGTAAATCAAGATAATTAAATTTTCCGTCGGTCAAACTGTTTTCATGCAGTTTATTTTACAATGAGTCATAAATTTTCAAATTGAAAATTCAAATTTATCGGCAGATGAGACTCAAGAGTAGATTTTTGGCCACAGTCCAAATCGATCAAATCCGCGCCACTCGTCGTAATTGCCAATCTGCGCGGGAATATTTGCACAAATCTGGCCGTCGTTGCTGCATTGATATTTAGTATTTCACAATTTTCTCTCTTCAACCAGGAAAAGGGGCACACGTGGAGCTCCTCGGGCAGTCGTAAACACGACATAGGGTTTTACGTGCGGCGTGGGAATCTGCATTTTAGAGGCGGTATCGTTCATATTTGAAGACGTGCCGTTTCCAGGCTAAAATTGCAACTGGGACTCGTAAAGGAGCAAAATTAAAACATAAAAATGACGGCTATCGCGATTTCATTTGATTCCCCGGCTTAATGAAACTTTGCCGTGATGCAAATGTACGTCTGGGAGGAGGTGGTGGGATTTGTTTCTCTGCAGCATGCGTCAATTTAAATCTAAATTTGAAATCTATTTTGTGCTTTTAAATTTCCATTTGGTTGTTGGTGTTTAATTTTTGTACTAAAAATATCTTAAACTAGAACAACATGGGTATGTTTGGGTATGTTAAAAAAAATAGATTAATGATAATACTCTTCGAATTAAAATTAAAAAATCTGACTTAAGTTTGATTTTGTAAAATTGTTTATAAACTTTTAACGTTAATGAATTTGGTATGGAAAATATTTTATGATAAACTATGACATTTATTTTTACTTATTTTTCTTTAAATTTTTTATCGCTTTTTACTTTTATTTATTTTATTTATAAATATTTAAAAATTAAAAAGAATATTTTTTTATATTTTAATTATTTATGAAATTGAAGATCTAAATTGTATTATTTTGATACCTATTTATTTTTATTTTATATAGAATTCATAATTTAAAACAAAATTTATCGTTAGGTGAAAATTGGATAAATCTTTCATCATTAAGATTGGTTTTGCACAGTTTTGCAGAAATGTCTCAAAATTTTTTTTAATTTTGTGCAATATAAAATGACATAATAATGATTACAAAACGGTAAAATATTTATAAAAATCATTGGCATTTAAAATTGTATTTTTTTTACAAAATAGGTTAACACTCTGTTGATAAAAAAAAAAACAATAAAAAAATGCAAAAAAAATCTTACCGTTGAGCACGTGGACCCAGACGCTGGCGGGCTCGGCGCTCGACGGGACGCACGTGTAGTTGCCCGAGTCGGTGAGACGCGCCTTGGTGATGAGCAGTTTGGAGGTGGTGCCCGCCTCCGTCTTCTCCGTCTCCAGACTGATGCCTCCGCGTGGCGAGTCAAAGTCGACCGAGGCCGCGCCGTGGAACCAGAGCACGGACGACGGCGGGTTCGCGTGGATGTTGACCTGGCAGGTCAAGCTGATGGTGCTGCCGCGCTTCACGTAAACGTCCTCAGGGCCCCAGATGGTCGCTTGGGCCGCTGCAACACCCAGACACAAAGTGCATTCGCAAAACGTTGGCCCAAAAACATTCAAAATCAGCTACGGTTTTTCTTAATTTATACCAAACTGGCAAAATTTGTTAAGTGAGTAAATGGAAAATGTTATTTTAGAGCGAGGGATTTTTTTTATATAAATGTAAAATATTATAAATTTTTGAAAACATCTTTTTGTAAGAATAAGTAAAAGAAAATATCAGAAATTTATGGAGGGTTAATTAAAATTATTTTATTTAATTAGTTGAATGCTGAATTTTTAAAACTAGTGGAGAGTGGCAGGAATAATTTAACCAACATTTAGCTTTACGTCCAATTTCCACAACTCGCATATAACAAAAGCATATTTCACTTTGTGCTGACGAGCAAACAAGTTCACTTGCGCAAAATACTCGCGCTAAATTAACACATTTCCATTATTCCCACCAAGCAAAAGCGTTCTCACAATTGCGTCAATCGAGCAACGCAAATAATTTGGCCGCCGCTTTTGCCAAATATTTTTCATATTTATTTAGCTCGCTCGCTAATGACTAGCAACAAATCGAAACTTCTGCTCACGTTTAATTAACTCTGTGCAGATCGAAAAGGGCGTTTTATCACCTCATGCACAATGAAAAGCAGTTAAACCAACTTTCAAATGGCTCCTCGTGCAAAAAGTTTATTTCCCACAGTTATTGCAATAACGCACGTAGAACCAATTACGACTTTCATGCTCCAATAAAAGTCTGACAATGAGTTGATGTAAATAACAAACTATTCATGCTCGTGAAAGAATGAAAAAAAAATCTAGTGCACATCAAGCAAATGAGCTGCGAGTGGTGGAATAAAAACGAGTGCAATCCGTTGTTAGCAAGACATTCTAGGCGCCTCTACCCATTCGCATGCAAAGCAGGGATCGAGAAACAGAGAGTTTGTGTGGAAAGAAAATCTACACGGCTTTTCCAACTCATCGCCTTTTAAAAGAAAAACAGGGTTAAGCGATGAGCTACCAAGTATTTTCGGCACAAGGTTTTTCGACCACTTTGTAACATGACTTGCTCCCTGCAACCTCGCCCTGCTATTACGAAAATACTTGGTCTGGACTTTTTATTTAACTTTCCGGATTAGCCCGATGCGCATTACCAGGAGACCGGCGGATTCGCCCTCGTGAAATCAGAAATCGTGGTAAATGAGTAAATCGTCAACTAAATAAATAAACACAATGCTCCGTGTATGACATGAGAGGTTTTGCTGAACTTTCTCTCCAACTTTCTCTCCCAAAGGAAAATTTCGCCTCAAATTTCGCAGGGCGGTTGAGTTTGGGGAGAAATTTCGAGATCAAAAGTCGTCTGACTGAGCGAGCGAAACACTCTGGGGAAATCGGATAATGGAGTTTGCTTTTGCAAACTTGTCCTCAAAATAAATTAAATTTGGCTGGTTTTGGTGGCGGAGGCATCCACGATGAATGCGCCCAAAATTGAGGGTGCTCAATTGCTTTTAAGTCAAAAGTCCACCGTATCAAAAACAATTCCAGGAATTACGAATTAGGAGTCTGCCAGACAATTAGTAATTTTCTGAGCAAATGGGCGTACAAAGAGAAAGGATTAAATTTATCGATTTTCAAAATACAATGGCAAAGGTTGGAAGAAACCAGCTACGGCAAGCGTAGCTTAGACTTTATAGATGCCAAAAAATATTTTAAATACACAAGGTTCGCTTGTTTCACATTATTATTTAAGAAGCTCACAAAATATCAAAGAAAATTACTTTTAAACAGAATGTGAAGCTTTGGTAAAGTTTAAGAATTTTGCAGGTTACAAAAATATTTAAACGCAATTAACCCTTTTTCTGGTTTTGTTATAGCCATTGAATCTACATAATTCAGATATTTATTATAAAAATTGAATAAATAATTTTTTACTTTCAAAGTTAACAAAATTCATCTTTTTATCTTACTAATTAATTTATAAATTTAAAATACACATTTTTACTAAATATTCAAAATATTTTCTAATATTAATTTCCAGGATATTTTCATTTACTTTTCAGATAAATGATATGAAAATGAATTACCACAATCATGTTCCAAAAGTCACCAGCTTTTATGTCTTGAGATTGGAAACTAAATTTTCAAAGAATATTTATCCATTATTCTCTATAATTGCTCAAAGAAATGTGTAATTAATGTGTTTGATATTGTGCAAAAAATTGATGGTTTTAATTTTACTTTGATAGTGATAGACATGGAATTGTTTCTTGGGTGCTTAATTCTGTTCAAAAGTGACAAACAGTTAAAATGACCAGTGGTTTTTGGTGGAGGTGTCACACACGGATGTGGTACTTTTTTTGTGTTTAGAAAATATTTACAATGGATTTGGGCGTTTCGGCTTTTCTCGTGGTAACGCGGCGGGCAAACCGAGGGGCAAAGGTGGCAGAAGAAGTCAGGGTAAGCACCTGAGAAGGGTCCGGCAGCCTTGCCGCTCGAGCGGGCCGTAGAAAGCAAGTCAGTGGAATTCTTGTCTGCAATCAACACAAAAGAAAGCCTCGTTTAACAACCAAAAAGAATTTTCTCGTTGAATTTTTTTTCCATTCATTTCTTTGCTCGGAAAAATTTCGGCCGATTGATTTATTAGACACATCGTGTGAGTGCGTGCGTGGTGTGATATATATTTGTAAATTTTCGGGACGGGGGAGACACCGAGGAATGCTGTTGGTCGCCGCAGAGTGTGACGCAAATTCGGTCGGAAGAGCAGACTTGTTAATTTGCGTGTGATTTACAAGCGAATCGTCGGATGTTTCGGCCCCACCACACGCTACTTGGCCCCCGTCCAATGCAAGGTGTCGAAAATTGCGCTTCGCAAAGGGGTAGTGCAAAGTCTTGGAGAGATGAATTTGGCAAACGCAGCTCTTGGCAGAATGCACTTGCCGCCGTGAGTTATGTCTGTGTGTGTCTGTCGCTTTGTTCGTGTTTCGCCGCCGCCGTTGCGTGCGGAAAAGGATGATTTGCATTTTTCCTCTGCGCGAGCGAGATCGGCACTGGATTGGAAACGAAACAACATCTCGCCTTTTTGCACCGGAGAGAGAAACTGGCACAAAACTCCGATTCATCTTTTATCCGTTTACGAATTTTTTTTCCTACTCTGGCAAAATCAATAGCTCTAGCAAGACTTAAAATTGCGAGTATTGAAGTTTCACAAATCTAATAATTGCAAATAAATATTTGAATGAATTACATTTTTAGTATAATTAATTGGGAAGGAAAGAGCGTAGATGAATGTTTGAAATTGACTTTCAAAGTAAACTTCAAATGTTATGTTGTAATGCCTCTGGAAAACTTAATATATAATTGAAAATATCTGCAAAAGAGTAATTATTCTAATTGAAACGCTTAAAAAAACAATAAACTTGACTAAATTTTTTAACAGAAATTTCCTTGTCATGACTTAAATAATTTTTCATAAAATTTTTAATGAGCGATGGATGACGCAAAATGGAAAATGAGCCAGTATAAAATGTTACTGTCACTTTTGAACGGTCTACATTAGTAAACGCGACGATGAAATTATAAAATTATTATTAAAGCACTAACAAGTGCCACTTGAGAAACTCATTCGCGTTTATTACATTTTCAATTCCAACGTTTGAGAGCATTCTGTGATTGGAAAATGACGCCAATGCAATAAAGTGGAGAGTCCCATTGACTTTATATGCAAGTGCAAAAAGAGAGAGCAGCTCGCTCAGTGCAAAATTGTGTGAAGGTGCGTGTGAATGTTAGTGGAACACGCGGCGCGCTCAATTAAATTTAACGACGGACCTGCTGAAATAATAAAACAGCAGGAGGGAATTTATCAGCCACAATGAAAAATAATTGCCCGGCTGATGAATTTTGCATGAAATTCCAAATTCGAATGCATCCGGCAACTTTTAAAAGTTCTACTTTGGCAGGGGGCGACATTAATATTTTATGTATTTTATGCGTGCAGGAATTTTCGGGAAGCACTAAAAACGACGACGACGAGCAAAACAAAAGTGCTGCAGCGCCAAAGGTGTATGGAGAAGTGGCAAAGTCGAAACTACTCAACTCGCACACGCATATATTTACAGCAAATGTGTGTCAAAAGGTTCTCAAATTCTACTGAACAAAACAGGGGGATGATATCATACAGAATGCAGACGTGAAAATTGTATTTTTTTACTTACAAAAAGGAAATATTTATAAAAATTTCAAATAAAATTTAAACTCAATATCAATTGTCCGGTAAAAAAAGTTGTGATCTGTGTTTCGCAATCAAGCTTTTAATTAAACAATAGGAATTGTTCAAGTGGTCAATTTGTGAACAGAAATGTATGTGTATTTCCAGTGCAGGATAAAATGCAAATCACGTTTGAGCGAAAACCTCTGCTGTTATTCCAACCAATCAAACGCATTCATCGGCAGCAGCGAGCGAAAGAGATAACAAAGCGAGATAGAGAGAGAAAGAGAATCAATGGAAAATTTGCAAGTCTGCTGAGCGCTAGTTCGAGTGGCTGCGAAAATCGCATCGAATTTGGATCACTCGTCGTCGGCACGACAAAAACACACACTCGGCAGGACAAACAGACAGAAAGGGTTGCTCGGGGTTTGTCTAAATACGCAGTAGCCTACTCGACGGTACGGGAGTTAGAGCAGAGTTAGTTGTTTGCATTTCTTTTTTGCTCGCGTACCTTCGACGTTCAGCAGCAGCGCCATGTTGATTTTCGGCTCGGTGTTGACCTGGCACTCGTAAATGCCGGCGTCCCTCCTCTGCACGTAGTCCACCTTCAGGTTCCACTCGTCAGACCCTTCCGGATGCAGCACCATGAAGCGGGCGTCGCCGGTGTACGTGTGGATGCTCGAGGTCAAAATGTGCAGGTCGCGTTTTCGAATCCAGGAAACCTGTCAACAAGAAATATTCAGTGATGAGAACCAAATTCAAATACGTTTTTATACTAAAATAAACTATTTAATAATGACGCTGCCTTATAAAATTCCAATTAAAATTAAATCTTCAAAAATCTAGTTAGAATATTTCCAAACTATGACATTTCAGTTTCTTTTAATGTTGATGATGTCAAATAAAAATTTTAAAAAATCATGAAATCATTAAGCAAAGTAAACATTTCCTGTAATGGAAAAAATTCAAAGATCATCTCAGTATGATAAGTGAATTTTAAAATGAAGCTCAAATAATATTTTTATATTATACTTCATTTATTTAAAAATCAAGTTTGTCACACAATTTGGTAATAAGATAAAAAGCTCATAATACATTTGAATTTATTTTTAATTTTCCAGCTTTTTTAAAAAATTCTACAATTTAACTTTTTTCGGCAATGTAATTTTTAATGAACATGTTATAAAATAAGCTTAAATTTTCCTCATTTATACAAAAATTAAGTTCGTAACACATTGAGGTAAAAATTTCATAAAAAAATCTAGAAATATAGTTTTTTTTTTTTTAAATTTTTATCTGCAATTTTTTTAAATTATTATGTTTAATAAACTATTTTACATTTAAATTAGCTTTTGCAGGAAAAGTCATTAAAATGTTCAGATCAGAAGGTACAAAAGGCAAGATTTTTTTTCTGGTTGGAATGAAATAGTAACCAGCAGTGTATAATTAAAAAAGCACTCGTCCGACGCGCTTTTTAATTTTCAGGCAATTTGCCGAGCCGCCGTGCCCAGCGGGTTGCATACCGAGAAATAACGGCGATCGTTGAGAGAAAATAATTCTCTCGTTAGCAAACAGGCGCACTTCCTGCGTCTAATTGGCCTCAGATGCAGCAGCTCGGCGCAATTTTAATTAATCGTGTACGCTGCACGTCGAGATTTTTACTGTGGGAAAAACGAAGAGGAATCATTGCACACCGTGTTCTTTTTTTGCCTGGAGGCGAAGAAAGGAAGGATGGAGACGAAGGAAGTCTCGTGTTTTTTGCTGCTCGAGAGCTGAGAGGTAATGTGGGCCGTTCATTGCAAACGAGTGGGCTTGTTTGTTATTGTTCTGGCGCAATAATTGCATTGCGATGCGAATGTCCTCCTTTCTTATTCACTCACACGAGACATTGTTTCAAAATGGGTGATTTTGGTAAAAACAATCCTACGAAGATTGTTAACTTCTTTGAAAAATGATAAATTGTGGAAATATTTGTCGCTATACTTCCGTAATAAGTAAAATAAAACTATTTAATATTGATAAAAATTTAAATAATTTGTTAACAATAAAAATATTATAGACACAATATTCAGCTCCAATGTGTTTAAATTAAATCAACAGAAGTAAAAAAATTTAAATAAATTAAATTTAGTGCAGTATTTTTATTTCCAAATAATTAGATAAAAATTCTTGTGATTGATAGTTAATGGAATTCTATTTTATAAAAATTTCAAAATCAATGTCAAAAAGAAATATATTTCGCTGACAAAAGTTATTTTTAGCAAGATTGGAAATAATTAAATGTTAATTTATTCAAACTCAAATACAAAATTCAAACTTTGGGTTTGATTTATTGTGTGGACAAAGTTGGTGTGCTTTTCGCCAAATAGTGCAAATGGGGCAATGGCGAGGCATCTGGTATGATAAGCGACGTTGGCGAACAAAAAGCGGCTGGTCATCAAGATTCGTAATCTCGAGGAGGACCTTTCTAATAGCTTAAATAAACAATTACCCGCGCGCGCCGAGAGAACGGGCGGGCTGGTGGGCGAGGGAGCGAGTCAGTTTCAGGTGCGTCATGATACGCAGTAAGCGCGCCGGGCTGCTCTATTGATCGGCGGCCGGCGCTCCTCTTCACTCCGCTGCCGCGGCGGGCCCAGTCCGTGAATGTCTTTCCGCTCCGCCCGCGCACCGCGACTCGATTGGGTCCGTTTTAATCGCTACTGCGCCTTCTAATATCATCACGCAATAAATCGCACCGACACTTGCTTGCGCACGGATAATCCCGCTGATTTACGGGCAGACTTAATTAAGTTGTAAAATTGCTGCTAATCCAGCAGTCGAGCGCCACTTCCGAAATAATACGCACTGCTCCAGAGAGTGTTTGTCGAGTTGTTCAAGGAGGGGGCAGGGAGGGCCTCACAACACCTCCAGTATCTCAAACAACTCTGAAATTTGCAAGTTTTATTATTTATGGTGTTAAAATCCAACAATTAGAATAATTTGAAGGAACATGTTATTTTTCACGTCTCAATTGATATTTTTGTAATTTGTAATTAATAAAAATATTTTTAAGTGTTTGCATTTGTAATATATATACTGGTAATTTATATAAGTATTTAGTTGGCGTAAAAAGGCAATGATTAAATTAATTTGAAATAGTTAAAGACAGTTTTAATTTAAGTGCAATTTAAAATATTATTAAACTTAATTGTATGAAAATAGAAGAGAGATATTAATGAAAGTGAATCATAATTTTTTTTGAACACCTGAAATATCAGCAGATTATCCAACCAAATTCTAAATTTACTTACTTAAAATCCAAAACAATTTACCTCATGGTTAACTTTAAAAAAAAAAATAGTTGACGCTTCATCAAATTCCCATTTAATGGATTTTCACCGCTGATTGTGAGAAATTTAATTAAAAACATTAAATCGAATTCACTTGATCACTTTTGCACCTTTCCCTAATGAAAATTGCAAGAAGCCATTCTCATTTTCCAACCACCTAATTAGCAAAGTTTTAATTGGGCGGCAAAACTTGATTCCGCGCCGTGAGTATTAATTTACTAATAATTCGTCTGAAACAAAACAAGCCAAAGCAAATTGAGGCGAGGCAGAAGATCTCAAGTGAGATGAAGAGAGAAATGCCTGTGCGGATTTGCGAGAGTGCGGCCGAATCAGCAGTAGTAGTCAATGAGAAGGTGGGCGCTTTGATTGCGGTCAGACAAGTCGGGCCCCAAAAACCACGGATGACAGGCCGACTAACCAGCTAGTCAGATTTAACTCTAATCCTTTGGCTGGCCGGAAGAGAGAAGAGCTTCTCCACTGTTTGTTTGTTTCTCTCCTCGGAAGATCTCATGCAGATATTCGCCCGCCCACGCGCAGGTAGCAAATGAGAATTTCCTCTTATTACTTTTTTCATTAGAAACCTTCAAGTGAAGCTAATATTGGAATTAAAAAGGACACATTCATTTCCGGTTCTGGAATGAGAGCGCAGCTGGACTGTGCGACATTTCTCGGGCTCGTCATGTTCTGTTTCTCGTTTGGTACAGCGGAGAAGGAAAGCTAATACCCTTCAAAGGCACAAGACCCGCTCACAAGACGGAATTCCAACAGCGTATATGGCAACATATTAATCCGGACTAGCAGCTCTGCGCCAAATTAATTGATTTAGGCGCCCGTCTTCATTTCAAGACCATTTTGGAATTTGCAAAATGCGAAAATTCCTCCTCATATTTGGTAAATTGTAAGTAATTAAATTTCTGTTGAGTTCGTTCATCTTCTTGATCACGATACATTATTCAAGATGAAATTAAATTAAAATGTCCTTAAAGAAATTATATTACATTGTCAAATTTCCTTATAATTAAGCTCTTCAATTTCAAAATGTTACTGATTTTATCAAAATTTAAATAAATAACCAAATAACGTAATTCAGGTTTTCAAAACTATTGAATGAAGATTTTTCAATGAGATGAAATCTGATTACTTTTCTGTAACTTATTTAAAGTTTTACTGAAAATTAAATTGGATTCACGTGCAATTTCAATTACATAGATAGTCAAAGATCCAGAGTGCATCTAGTACAATCCGCCAAATTCAATTAAGCAAGATGAAACGCAGAGGCCATTTGCTTGTGTCAAAAGTTCTGACCGCAATATATGGTGAATTCAATCTAGAGGCAGTGTGTGTGAGTTTGAGCCGTGTGAAGTCGGTCAGAGCAGAGTTAGTTTGTTCAGGGTCGGTACGTCCATCTAAAGGGCCTGTGTGTGCGGTAATGCACCCGTCTCTTCTGCTTTACCACGTAAACATACTCGCGAGTGAATGAGTTTTGGGTTTGAGTTTCGCATTAGAGTTGGAAAAGAGCGCGTGCAATATTTGCAAAAGCCCAACTTGGCCGGGGGAGAGAGCCCTCGTGTTTTTTTCGTCCCTTTGCAAAGGTGTAATGAGGTTGAGCCTTTCTCAGATGACTTAAGCACAGCCGAATTCCTCGCGTCGTTATGCGTTCCACACTTGACTCTTTACAACCACTCCAACAACTTTTTGCGTGGCTCGCTTCAGAATTTATGCAGCGCCGGAATCCAGGTCAGCGAAAATGAGACGCCCCGTTTTGCTCTTCCAATCGATCAAAGCGAAATCTAAGTGGGTTTAATTAAAATGCTTTTGAGACGAAGATATGACATTAAAGTATGTTATTTAATTTCGGTAGCTACATTTAGAATTACTTAAAATTAGAAGAAGAATAAATGAAGTTAATATTATAATAGAAATAATATAATTCAGTTTATATCTTCAAGTTATTTAAACAAAAATTAATATAAATAAAAAAGGCGGTTTTTACTATGCATTAATGTAAATGATAATTACAAATTAATTTAAGCACAGCATGCGGCCTCCATCAATCAAAATAAAATAATAAATAAATAAACAATAAAATATTTTATTGTTTATTATACAAAGTTATATATTAAAAATTAAAAAAATATCGCAATTTTAAGCATTCAAATATCTAATTGTTTTGAAGATTTTTGTCTTCTTTGATTGCGTGTATTAAATACTTTTCAACCAATTAAAGAAGTCAATCAAAGAGGCAGAATGCCTAAAAAAGTTATAAAAATATACTTGCATTTAAATTTAAGCAACGTTCATGAAACTCTGGCAAGATAATTTGGCCGCTTAAACTGTATAATTAGCTCGGTGCCAAAGACATTCCAAAATGGCCCACCTAATTGAATGAAACA